AAAGGGAAAGAGTAACATTTTTTTTTCCTAATTTCAAAGAAATCAAATCCCATTTTCTCCATTGTATCACAGTGTTCTGCACACGTTCAGCCCCCACGATGGCACTAAAAAAACCTCAAAGTCAAAGGCAGCTGTAATCCAGCCACCTTTGCCAAGTACAATTACCCTCCTATCTCAAACACAATAGAATAGAGGGGAACGTTTAGAGGAGCCTTTGGCTTTGTTTTTGGCATAGTGAAAGCTAAATGGCAGCATGGATTCTAAGGCACAGAATAAAATTACAAAATTTTAATTTTGCTATTAAAAGGGTTAGCTGGTGTTTTTTTTCCCCCTGAATAATTGGAGACATAAGACAGTGAGCATGTTGCCTCAAGAACTGTGTTGTCAGCACTGCATCTATTGTAATTGCTTACAGGAGCACAGAGTGAGAATGATTGAGCTGCAAGTGATCTGCAGGTTCCTAGACACCTGCAGCTGAAGACAGCACAGTTTCCAGTAGCTATAGGTGACAGGAATGTCTCCCTACAGCAGGCCAGAGGTTATGGTAAATAAAAACTCCAACAGGCTCCTGAAGCTGTACAGAGCCCAGGAAAAACATGTCTGCTCCAATGCAGTATTGAATGTCTTCATGGTTAGTGAAATGCACTGGGGAAGTGTTTCCTGAATTCAGCCACGTGGCAGCATGTTTACGTGAAAGAAGGATGTGAAGGCTGCAGGAATACCAAAGCTCGTGATTACATGCCTGAATCAAATGGCTCAACACCATTCATCTATTTTTATGGGTTATATCAGTTTCATTCACCTCCACTTCAAAATGCCCTGCTGCATGTGTCAGGCAGAATAGAGTCAGAAAACATACGAGAAGTACTTAAGACAAGAGAAATCAAAATATTTCAATGATACTCATTATTCAGAGGCTATTTTTCACTGCACACATGTAGGAAGAAATAGCTTTCAAGTTAATAGTTAGAGATACTGGGCACATCATTTTCAGAACTGCTACAGAACAATGAATCTCTGAAGCCTGAGTTTTGTTACTGTATTGCAATCATCCTACAAAATTACACAACACAAAAACAAATTAATTAATGGGCCTGTGCAATAAACTATATGCACTGAAGGGCACTTAAACTGATTCCAAGTACTCATGATTTGGCAGCTAGGAAGTAAATAGCATCAGACATTCCTTATTCAGCAATATTCTTCCACCTCTGGGAGATAGGAAAGGAAGGGGGAAAAAAAAAAAAAAGAAGAGACTTCTTTCAATAGCAATAGTCTAAGGTTATTCACCTCCAAATACTACCCTATTTTTAGAGCAAACCTTTCTATATATAACCAGTGACCCCACTGTCCTCTACCAAGTATTTCTCCCATTGCTTTTTTATTGACTGTTGCAACTCAGGTCCAAAGGTAGGTCACAAACTGTCAATGGGAATTTGGCAATCTGGAGCCTCAACTGCACCAAACATATCAGGTGATGCTACAATGCTCTTAAAAGTAAAAATGAGCTAGTTTTCACAGATTGCACAAAACTTATCTGGAGTCCTACAGAACTTCAGGGTTTCAGGAGAAGAGAAATGGAAGTAAAAAAAAATATTTTCTAGGGAAAAAAAGCGCAAATATAAGAGCTGGTTTTCAGTAATATCCTGTTTAAAGCTGATGCATGACATAGCAAAATGACTTAGGATCACACAGCAAATCAGTCATGTAAGGCAAGAATATATTGCCATCAAACATAGAGACCTCTCTATAAACACTTGAAGCTCACATACATGAGTACAAATGTAGGTCACTTGTCCCAGGCATTCTTTAACACCTAACTGTTCTTCTTCTTACTTTTTTTTCCCTGAGGCTTTACAAATTATTTTTATTTTTTATTTTAAATTCTGCTCATTTTCCAACAGGATGAGCCCAGCCACACCAACACCTATGCTGAAGGATCAGTATCAGTACCAGAGGACTGACACTAAAACTGAGAGGAAGAGCAGACTACTGCTTTGGGAGGCAGCAAACTGGCTGAAGTTATCTTGCAGCCTAGGAAGGCTCCAGTGCATTAATTCCCTTCCTCTGTTGCCCCTTCTATGGTAAGCACCACTGTCCCTTCCTCTGCCCTTTGCTAAGTATCTACACTAGTATGGAAAACAATCAGTGAAGAAAACAGCAAAGACATTAATTCAATATGATTCTTCGGCTTAAACAAACTAATAGTTACCTAGAGTTCTGTGTTTTGATCAGAATAGTAAAATACTCATGTTCAAATTGTAAAATGTATTGATATAGAGTGTATGAATGTGTCCTTGAGGCCCATGAGCACTTGCAGATAGAATATGTTCCACAGATTATATGAATACCATGAAAGTTTCTACTAACAAGAAATATTGGGGAACCTCAATTTTTTTCACTTCTGAATGCATTTTTGATAGCTGGAAAAACAAACTAAAGCAGTCTATACCTGAACTGAATTTTGAAAAAAGAGCAGAGCAGGGGCTGGAAAGGCTCCACAGGTAACATCTGCCAGACTAGTGAAATCACAGCCATTCAGCTGATAGTATAAATTAAATTATATTTAAATGTAGTGGACAACACTTTGCATACAAAGTTAAAATAACCAATCCATTTCCAGTGCTTCCATATGCCCTTTATCCCTTGGTTTGTTCTCCTTATTTAGATGTGCTTCTTGCTCTCAAATCTGCTCTGCATCTAAGGTTATTGACACCTTCCAAGGTCATCACCTTTGAGGCATTAATTCAGGAAAATTCCCATCTAGTAAAGTGGTATCTACTAAAATGATAAACACAACCAACCAAGAGACCTCTGCCTTACTGTCATCTATACTGTAGATTCAGTATTTAATTCACTCATAAGGTTATTTCATTATTTTCTGCTGATGGAAAGCAAGGTTATATGAGTGTGACTATGTTATACTCAGTGAGGTCATTCAATGCAGAGATATGACTTTGATTTGTATTTCTGTAGCTATGAGAAATTGCAAGCATAAATTTACATACTAACTAAAATGCAAAACCTTCCTGAGCTGAACCAACTGAAACACCATTAAAAATGAAGTCTTAGTCTACTGTATTCACAACCATGTTAAGTACCAGTAAGGCAGCATCAGCAACCAACAGACCCAAACTCTCTGCACTGGTCTAAATTTCTCTATGCCTAGTAATAACAAATAGTAAGGCAGGTTCTATTGAACACACAGAACATAGAGGGCACCCATCAATTAACAGTGCCACTCCCTCATTACAAAATACTTGATACTTGTTCTACAAATAAACAGATACATTCATCATTATTACTGTCTTACTGATCAAGCTTATAAGTCATTAAGGAATTCTGAAATGGGAAGAAAGACATGAGAGTAATTCTAATACACTAGTGTAATACACACAATAAAATGCCTGGCTTATTGAGCAAACATATTTAATGAAAAATGTCAGCTGTGCAAGATTAACTCCCTGGTACCCTTCCAAGCCAGTTAAGAATATGGAATTTTTCCTCAGTGTTATGTTCATTTGGCAACATGGTTATTTAAAGCATGATCATGGTGTTTTTAAAATAATGCCCAGATCCATGAAACAATTATTTAAAAGAAAAAGTTCTGAGCTCATTACACTTTTATCTTTCTGGAAAATAACCTTCACTCTCTTTCCCATCCAGAAAAAAACCCAAACAACCAGAAATAAAAAGTTAAATGGTTATGCTTTCGTCCTTACCACTTTTCCCTCCTGCATTTACTATTCTGACATAAAATGTGGCTAGGCCTTAACTTCATCTTACGTTCAGGTTCTCAGTATTTGGGTAAAGTCATTTATACATAATGAAGACAGAAAGCTTTTTGAATTTGCAAAGCAAGTCCACGTTGAGAAAACTGAAATGGAAAGTGATGGATAATACCAGAATGAACACATTCAGAATGCCAACAGTGAGGTTTCATGGAACAGAAATACAGGAAGAAATGAGGCAAAGGTGGGGTTCAATTCATTTGAAGAAGATAACGTCACAAAAGCCACAGAGGTAGATCTCATTTCATAATAATCTTCAATACATTTAAAAGATTGGCAAGAGGCTTGTGAAATGGTATATATACTGTTTTTAAATACAGTAATCCTGAAAGCTATCAAATGCAACAGAGGTACTGCAGATGAAATCTTCTGCATTAATGTCAATTCAATATATAGCACACATTTAAAGCCAACTCAAAGAATACTCTAAATATTGCTGGGAGTTTTAAAAAGACAACAATTATCCTAACTACTTCAAGCACCTTAGACTCTTTCCACACTGATCAGCACTGTGCCCTTCAGGAAATACAGATGTGCTGGGTCTGTGTGGTGGGGCTTTGGTAGCAGGGGAGGGCACAGGGGTGGTTACTGTAAGAAGCTGCTGGAAGCTCCCTTGGCTCCAAAGCTGTACCTGCATCTGTCTTTGGCAAATACCATCAGCAACAGTAATAATGCCTCTGCAGGCAACAAATACAAGAATGGGAAAAGCAAGACCGGCAGGGCAGAGGAGAGGGGGAGGTGAGAGCAATACTTAAGCAGAGATACCAAGGTTGGTGAGGAAGGAGGAGGAGGAGGTGCCTGAGCTGAGGTTCCCCTGCTGTCCATGGAGAAGCATGGTGGAGCAGCCCATGAAGGACCACAGTGGAGCAGATGTGGACCTACAGCCATGGAGGACCTCCTGCCAGGGAAGGTGGCTATGCCCAAAGAAGGCTCTGAGTCTGTGGGAAGCCCTCATGGGAGCAGTCTATTTCTGAAGGAGTGCACCTCATGGGAGGGACTCATGTCGGAGGAGTTCTGAAAGACTGTCTCCCATGGGAGGGACCCTATGCTACAGCAGG